TAGAATAGAATAGAATAGAATAGAATAGAATAGAATAGAATAGAATAAAATAAAATTCTTTATTGGCCAAGTATGATTGGACACACAAGGAATTTGTCTTGGTGCAAATGCTCTCAGTGTACATAAAGGAAAAAATACATTCGTTAAGAATCAAGAATCATAACGTACAACGCTTAATGATAGTCATAGGGTACAATAAGCAATCGAATCATACTAGGAAACAGTCAATATAAATCATAAGGATACAAGCGACAAAGTTACAGTCATACAGTCACAAGTGGGAGGGGAGGGGTGATAAGGAGTAATGAGAAGATTAATAATAATAGTAGTGCAGACTTAGTCAATAGTTGGACAGTGTTGAGGGAATTATTTGTTTAGCAGAGTAATGGCATTCGGGGAAAAACTGTCCTTGTGTCTAGTTGTTCTGGTGTGCAGGGCTCTATAGCGTCGTTTTGAGGGAAGGAGTTGAAACAGTTTATGTCCAGGATGTGAGGCGTCTGTAAATATTTTCACAGCCCGACAAAATAGGGGTGTTTGACACTCCGCCTGCATTACAAATGCAGGGATGCTCCAATGGTAAAGGCACTAAGACTAGAAACCAGGAGACAGGGAATTCTAGTCCTGCCTTAGGCATAACAGGTGACTGGGTGGCTTTGGACCAATCACCAGGAGATGGTGAGTTCTAATCCCACCGTAGTCTTGAGGCTGGGTGACTTTAGGCCAATACTAGAAGCGTGTGAATTCTAGTCCCGCCTTAAGCACGAGAGCCGGTGACTTTGGGCCAATCACCAGGAGAGGGTGAATTCTAGTTGCACCTTATGAATGAAAGTCAGTTGGGTGACGTCGGGCCGATCCCTTTCAATCCACCCAACTCCACAGGGTTGTTATTGTGGGAAAAATTGAAGGAAGGGTTAGTGTGTGTGTGTTCACCACCTTGAGTTATTTATAAAAACAATAAAGACAGGATGTAAATAAATAAAAATAAATATTTTGCATTTTGGTTCCTCGGCTGTCCATAAGTCTAGTGATTCTTGGTCTTTTTTGACTGGTGATTCTTGGCCTTTTTTTTGAAGTGAAGCAATTCTACTGCAATGATACAGTCTGGTGTTCACTTCTGGAATGTTGTGGCCTGTCGGCCGCCGGCCCCTCCAGCAGCCGAATCAAGAGGAGGAGGAGGAGGAAGAAGCATGGGAGTCGGGGTTAGCATCAAGGCAACCTGAGAGCTCCGAGGGGGAAGAGGGAATGGAGCTCT